ACGATAAATCTAATTCTCTGAGCGCGAGATATGTCGTGTGTCGCGTTATATAATCGGACAGTGGACTAGTTGCGCCGTTGTAATCTCCGTATGATAGCGAGAGATTAAGCGGATGTGAAGTTCCAACTGTTGCCTCTGGAGATAGATGCATTATCAAAGCGCACCGTTCTATCCCACATAGATCGTGCGCGAGGCGCATCGTAATAATGATCCCAGTTCGTATATTACACAGTTGGATTAATATTCCGGAGAAATTCAAGATACTTGGACACATGCGGCCTTCCAGCCGCAAATTCCATGCCGCGAATTTGTGATCGATTCCGCGACAGGCCATTATCCGCATCGGCAGATTCTAATCGTTGAATATCTCGTCGATTGAATTCCCAAATTACATTTCTGTCAGAGGGGAAGATTCGGTTGAAAGTAATCACGAAACAATATTGCCTCGACCCATTTACTCTGTTCATCTCTTATCTTATCAAAATTCTGTAATCTAAAACGTTGTGCAGAGAATTTTACATTAAAAAATTATTATAGAATTTTTTAACTGGGGAATAGAGATTGACATTCTGCAGCAATTGACAATCTTTTCGTTATACGTGTACTATTTATATATTTCAGGAACACATTTAAATGCATTATTAAAGAAATTGTCGTTTCTAGCGAAATTTACTATGTTTTTTTTTTAGCAAGATGGATCTTATTGGATTACCCTATTAATCTGGGTAATCTGGTAATTCTTTGGATTACCTTATTAATCTTTGGATTACCTTATTAATCACGAAACAATATTGCCTCGACCCATTTATCCTGTTCATCTCTTATCTTATCAAAATTCTGTAATCTAAAACGTTGTGCAGAGAATTTTACATTAAAAAATTATTATAGAATTTTTTAACTGGGGAATAGAGATTGACATTCTGCAGCAATTGACAATCTTTTCGTTATACGTGTACTATTTATATATTTCAGGAACACATTTAAATGCATTATTAAAGAAATTGTCGTTTCTAGCGAAATTTACTATGTTTTTTTTTTTAGCAAGATGGATCTTATTGGATTACCCTATTAATCTGGGTAATCTGGTAATTCTTTGGATTACCTTATTAATCTGTTTACTCCTGCACTGCTAAAAACATAATGGAAAGATCGTATATGAAAAAAAAACTATAATATTTTCTTCGTGCATAATTATCAATTTCTTTGATTGTGCTATGGGAATAATTGCCGAAAAATCGGTTTACTCTTATTAGAAATGTCTGATATTTTAATGGAAGCATTTGGTACAACTCAATACGGTCCAATCGATTCTGATCGTGACAAGATTTAATGATAACGACCCAAGACGAAATCAGACGCGGCGAAAAGACGGCTGTTTTTGTCGATAATAGATCGCGGCACGTAAAGACGGCCGGTGTCTAGGATGGAATAAAGCGTACCGGTTACGCGCCACCCCGACTCGGAGATCAAAGCCACGTCGAGAAGTTGAAGCGCGTTGCAAAAGTTGGAGAGTGGGTGCCGCGCGCGGGGACACGGAGCTTGGTAACGGGTGTTATTCATGGCGCGTCGAATACAAAGTAACGAGAGCAATTTGGCGCTCACTTGTCGCCGCTGGCTGGTGGTAGGTAGGGTGTCGCAGCCCCGGGTTATGGTTCTGACATGCCGCCCCGTGTTTCCTACGACGGCGAGATGCCGACAGAAGGGGAATCTCGCCGGTCTCTCGAGAACCTGTGTGTACACCGGGTCCGGTGGCCGGCTTAAAAGCTGAAAGCCATCGAGCGTCGGGCGATCTCTCGTTTCACAGCTAGGTAGAGAAAGAGAGAACTGAAGGAAAATTTCCAACGTCGTCCTGTCGCGCGTCGTTGGAAAATGAGACGTAAAAATATATATATAGAGAGAGAAAGAGAGAGAGGGGAAGAGAGAGGGAAGGAAGGAGGGAGAGAGAGAGAAAGAAAGACGGAGAAAGTAGACATGGGTGGTGGTGGTAAGCACAAAGAGAGAAAAAACGGAGCGGAAACTAGCGAGCTGGCGGGAAGATCGACCTGGGGCGTCGGCGGCGGCGGGACGGGGTGAATCAACGACCACGACGACGACGACGACGACGTCGGTGGCGGCTGGCTAAAAAGTTGTGCTTGCTCGGCGAACTGCTGAGCCTGTCATTCGCACGCTTCCGCGGACCCTGGAACTGATTTAAAGACGAATGAAGGTCCACTCTTCAGGCGTAGGAGTCCCGGATTAAGAGAGAAAGAGAGAGAAAGAGGGAGTGAGAGAGGAAGGGAGGAAGGAAGAAAGAGGGAGAGAGCTAGGCGAATGGTTGCACGTCGTTAATTGCACGACGAACGTCGCTCTTTGACCTGGTGAAGAAGGTCTTTATGGTGGTCAATCGATGGAAATAAGGGGAAGAGAGAGAAAGAGAGAGAGATAGAGAGACACCGTCAATGACGATGAACGATCGATTTGAAGAGACGGCGTCGTATGCGAATCGCGGCGTCGTATGGCGTATAATAATTTTGCCGTTACGAGACGGTAGCGATTTCTGATTTACGGCAAGTCCGGCCGCGCACGAATCTTCGTTAACAAAGACTGCTCGTTCTCATTAATTAGAATTAAAGGGTGCACGCTTGTAACGCTGCGGCGTTCCTCAAACGCTCCATCTTAATTTTTCAACGATAGATTCTTTGATCTATCCGGAGTCCATTTATCCTCGTCTGAAACGTCGAGGTTCCCGGTAACTTTGGACGCTACGAGCTGAAAAATGCAGCACTTTGCGCGAATGGAAATTTACATTCGCGGGAATTTTATCGTGTTCCACGTCGTAACATAGCTCTGTTAATTAACCACCTTAATTTCGCGAGGTCTACCAGCACATACTGACGGGTCGTGTGCTCGGCCATGGTAGAAGAAAATCGGTTTATCGACTCGCATGATATGTAACAGCGGCGGAATAGTCCATCCATTACGTGGGAAGACGTCGGGGCATTTCGCGTTTGTAAATTGTGGTCCCGGGAAGTATTTCGCGCCGGGTTATATTGCAATCGTGGGCGCAAGAACGAGAGCGAGACAGAGAGAGAGAAAGAAGGAGAGAAAAAGAGAGAGAGACAGAGAAGCGCAGAGAGAGAGAGAGAGAGAGCGCCATTATTTGCATAGAATTCTGCGTTCTTTCTCCGAAGAGCAGAATGTTTCGCAAAAAACACCGCCGACTGGGGTGTCGTAAAATGAGAAAACAGAATGAGAAACCGTTCTATGCTTTCAGGCGGCTAAATGACGGCTCCGTCGTAAGGAGGGGCCGTCATTAATGAAGTAAGAGCCTTTCACCCTAGGGGCGCACGCTCGCTCGCTCGTCGCGTAGGGCTTTTAATTAAATTCGTTCCTTGGCCGGCGGTATGCTTAAACAGCTCGCGAATACAAAGTCCGTATTTCGGAATACAAACATTGCATGTACGCGATGAGTTCTAGGTAAAACTGGCGTGCCAAGAATTTCAAGAGAGGAGAGGTACGGCGGGTTTGTCTTGGTGGATCCGTCGAGATTAACGACGATGTATTTGACCCTCGCCTAATGAAATTTTAACCAGCCTCTTAATCATGAGAGATTACATAGCATCAAAATTACACAATGAGACGTGGGCGATTTTCGCGTGGGTCTCGAATCTCCGATTCGTTTCGCGAGAGACGCCTCGCACTTTTATTTATCGCGTTATCTGCGCGCACGTCGGAAGTCTCGGTTCCTGTCCCGTCGGCGACGCTACGAGACGCGACGAGACGAGACGAGACGAGAGACGGAATATTCAAATACCCGGAAACTCGGCGCGAGACCGAACGCGCGCGGTGCACCGAGAATGCAGCGCCGAAGGGACGCGCTACGTTGCGACGCAGCGCGCCGCGTCGCATCGTGTCCTCTGGATGCTCTCTTTCGGTGTCGGCGAGGGGAACGGGGAGAGGCACCCTTTCACCCGTTAAATTACGAAATATCCCACGGGAAATTCTTGAGCTCGTGCGCCGTGCGGAAGTTCGGGCGTCTTCCCACAACGGTGCGCGGCAAGCGCCGCGCCGCGTTGCGAACACAACGAAGATAGATGACGGCGGACTTTGGCTGCCGGATACTGTTCCGCATCTTCTTATCAGGCGCATAAATCAACGATTCCACTCTGCCGCATCTCACCGCCACCTCCTGTCCCCCCTTTTTTCATCGTTTCTCTCTTTTTCACCTTGGCGGGTGAGCGAGCGGGGCTTCTTTGTCTGTTCGCTCGATCTGCATTCGACGCGACGACGACGAGCGTCCTGGCGCACAATTTCAGTCGGTCGTCGTGTTTTGAATTGGCGTACCTCGACCACGCGCGTGTACACGCGTTAACGACTTAACTTCTCGTTGATAATCGACACGACGGTCTAACGACCTGATAGCTTGCATCCAATCATGAAGTATATACCTCAACAAAATTATTCTACGCCATCGGTATAAGACAAAATGAACTGCAGTTTTCGTTCATTTTTATCGCGTTAAAAGATTATTTGAATACCAGATAAGAATCATTTTTGATTTTCGAAGACACTTGCATGAAAGGAAAGTTGTCATATTAATTCGTTTTCATGTGTCATCATTCTTTGTGTTTATTGTTGTGTCCATTCAATAGAAAACTGATGTCTTGCAAGATTATTAATGCAAGCGCTGAGATTGATCAGTACTCACCATAAATCTTTACTTCACCGTGGAGACAATAGATATTTTCGCGAGAATCTACTTTTGCTAATTAATCCTTAATTGGTAGAATAACAACTATATATCTATCAGAAGCGTAGAAGTCTCAGCTTTGCAACGCAAAGCTTTAATTGAGACCTCTATGATCTCTATAAATGCGCAGGCCTCACCACACTACCGTTTGATGGGTCATGTCACATGGTCACCCCTGGGATCATTGAACTTTCACAAGTTAGCGACTCGTTAGTGTGCGGTGCAACAAGCTAGTGACAGCTAATGACGGCAGTTCTTGCTAAAGGTTCTGGGTAGTTTATAAGCAAGAATCAGGAGTTTCTTTGAAATGTTTTTACAAATAAATTGTAAGAACGCATTTTTGAACTTTTCAGTATGTTTTTATTTCTTTGAGAAAATAACATGATCTTTTTTGTAATTGAAATCTGCATATTAGTTGAGTTATAGATCGTGGCGCAACACGTTCATATGCTGCTGATGTGCATGATACAGCCGCTGGTAGTGACCTGAAACAAAAAAGTAAATGAGATTTATATTTTGTGTGATGAGTGTGGTTACCATTTGAACTAGAATTATTGGACTAAATTAAAATTTGAGTAAATGGTGGGCTCAAAAAACAGATTGCGGCTCCGTGACTTGTTTAATAAAAATTATTCACTCAATTTATGCAAATTAAGCAGTGTTTTTTAGCGGTGTAAACGTCAATTTACTTTTCGTTTATGCCGTATAAGTGAACAAACTTTAACATTTCAATTGGTTCTGTTGAATTTCAATTGCTCCTTTCGATGGTTTTTCTGCTGATTGATTTTTTCCTTGCTGCTAAAGTAATAATGCGAATTTTAATGTCGAAATGTAACGCGTGGTTTCGTCCTGGAGTGCAAATAATAAAATTTTTCTCCTACCTCTCGTATCCTCCTGTTTGATTTATACGTGTATGCTAACTTTATTAGTATTCGTTAGCTTACAGAGTTTTCGATATATCGTGTTGAAATGTATTTCGATTCACGAAGTTATATTTAAGTTGTTAAGAATTGTTAAATAACATTTTTAACACAGCATTGCTACGAGATAGTAAGCAAGATTTAAGGGCTTCAATGTGGCGAGCACGCAGACATATATAGCATATTTAATATAACATTGTGTTGATTGTATAATACTGTATAATAAAAAAAAAAATATATATATATATATATAAATGAAATTCTTATAATTTTGAAACTCTATAAAGATATCCTGTTTATATATATAGATATTTTTATTTTATAAAGATAAAACAGGGTAAAGTTAAAAATGGGTCCCCAGAGCAATGCATTTCTTTGTTTAAATCTTATGAAAAACATGATAGACTTGCGTTGCAAAATAGCAGTGCCCGCGGCGAAAAGTTTTCCTGCGATTTCGCAGCCGTGACGGATGATTAACGATATCTCGTAAACGCATTGCTTGAATGCCACAAAATTTTTATCACTCGCCATGGGAGCTGCGGCGGAAAGAGTGTCCGTTTCTTTCGCCGTCGGAGTGCGCATCTTCATTAAATGCGCTCCTCTCGCGACTATTAAAATGCCACTTGATCTTGCGCGGAATTTAACGAGCGTCGCGTTTTTCACAGCGGCGCGGATAAAATGCGCGACGCTCGCCAGATTCTTCGCGGTACGCGTGTACAGAATATATATGGAAGTAAAACGCGTTCACACACGAGTGTGAAATTCTTTTTACGATGTATGGGAAGCATCGTTCTTTTTTCTTTTTCACCGCGGTTCTCTAATATTCCTCTCTTGACACGTCGAATCTGCAAGTGACTGGTTGTTCGATACGTTTATGTCGAGCATCTCTCGAGATAATGGCCGGGTCACCGCGTGCCAACGCAACGCACGAATAACGCACTTATAAACAGTACGACGAGTGAAATTTGCGCGAACTCCCGTGACAGCGAGATATCTATAGCGGAAGAACTTTATTTACGCTGAAGTCTGATATTTAATTAACATTTTCTTGCATAATGCCAATCAGATCCGCGCGCGCAAGCGGGAATTAAACTCTTTGCCACCGCTAATTTAAATTCCCTGTGCACGCGGATTGTTTTCCCCGCGAAAATAATTTGACGCGTCGTTGAATTTCTATAACATCCCGCTTCGTCGTTTCAAGCAATTTATCGGAGAATTTTCGATCTTTCCCACCGTTTGAAAAATTAATTTTTAAGCTCTTCTAATATCTTGTCGCGCTGCAAAAGATTTGTCCTTTTACTGCGAGAACAAAAACTTGTAATCTCAGTGTTCTGTGGTACAAATAGTTATAACAGCTGACTTGATACCAATAAATTAATTTCGCGTTAATTTCGCGACTATACATAGAATATACAGGGTGTCTGACAGTTAATGACGCACCCGTTGTGCGCGCAGATAGAACTCATCAAACTAAGCACAGAATCCCTCTATTATTTCGCAAATAACGACGTAACTTTGAGTTGTTAATTAAAGAAAATTGATGAATGATCACACGATACGTTGGATGAGCTGTGATGGCGACGTTTGCTTGTATATTAAGTCACATTACGCAAAATGTCCTCTTTTCAAAGAACATTTATGTGCGTTATTTATTGTGCGTTATCGCGCACAATTATGCACCAATCTTCCTTAATTAATATCTAAAAGTTTACGTGGTCATTTACAAAATGATAGAGGATTTTTTTTATTTAGTTTGATCCAATGTACAAGCACACACGGCAGAAGATGTCGCCATCTACCGTATCGCGCGTAATCACTCATCAACATCCTCTTCAATTAATAACTCAACATTATACGCGATTGTTCGCGAGATGGTGAAAGAATTTTGTATACAGTTTGATGAGTTCTACTTGTGCACACTATGAAAAAAATGCTTGGTATTTGTAATATAATCACATAGAGAAATATAATTCCCATAAACTATGCCCAAGAAATTATACTATATAAATTATGTCAACCGTTTTAAATTCTACTATAACGTTAGTAGTAATAATCTTATATTGTATATATATTACTATTACCACTATCGTGTTAGAACAGTAATAATTTTAGCTAGATTAACTACTTTTTTCTCTCAGTGTACAACGGGTGCGTCAATCATCGCACACGACACTGAGTGTGCGAAATATTCTCATGAATTATAGCATTTTTTACATTTCACCCCGTTGCACTTTTATTCGCGTTATAGGACCAACGCAAGGAAATCAATGCCGGGGTTTTTATTTTGAGTTGCGCAACAAGTCCGCGATATAGCCGGCGAACATTTCCACTATTTCTATCGGAACGTCTCACGGATGATACGGGTTTTGAGCGATCACCTAACCTAACCGTTCGTCCCGGCCGCCGCGTTCGAGATGGATCCCCGGGATTCGTTACGCTCTCCCAAACCCCGGCCGATTTATCCCCCTCGGTCGGCGTTCCCGCGGGGGTTCTCCCAAATTACCCGAATCTGCCTGCCGACGCTGACTTTCCTCGCGCAACAGATTTCAATTATCTCGGCGAAAAGCGGGCCGGCGAAAACCGGTTTAGTTTCGCCCGTAGTTCGCGAATCCGCGCCGACGAATGTCGGCAACGCGCGTACGGCGAAGACCGGCGCGGAAATTTGTTGCCGGAGTTCGCGTTACAGTTGCCGAAAGCGTATCGCCTGTTGGCCTTTGTGATTCATCCTGCGGGTTGAATTATCGAAACATCATTTGTAACATCGGACATGATATCGTTATTAGTGCAATCGCCGCTAGACATTTGATCGCGTCGATATCGCCAAATTTCACGTAGTTTGCACGGTAAAAATCTCATACCGGTCCTATTATTGTTGCACGAGTTAAACACAAACGCCAGAGTCGGCTATTAACCTGAGTACTGAGTTATAGACGCAGTTATTGTTCCAAAGGCTTATTCGGAGCGCGCGATACATTTCTCTCTCTCTCGCTCTCGTAACAGCTCTATCGCGGCAGACAAACGACGGCTCGTTAGAGTGTTCCCAAAACACCATTACGACCTTCGTTAATCCCTCGCACTTCCACTCATTTAGCGGATTAAAATGATTCCGCTGAATGTCTCGTGATCTCACCGACGGCAACGATGACGCGAGAGACTTTTTATCTCGAGAAACGCGGATCGATAGTCATAGTTGCATTAATCCATCCGTGAGAGAGAAGCGAACAGGGAGAATCGTTTGTGGCGAAGATGACTCTCTTTCTCCCTTCTTTCCTCTCTCTCTTTCTCTCTCTCTCTCTCTCTTTTTCTCTTTCTCTATCTCTCCTTTCTTCTTCGCAGCCGGTTCCTCCTCCAGTCGCGCAAATATTTGTGCGACGAAATTGCAACAGGAGGAGGCACTATTTAAATTGCAGATGAAACGCGCGCCGGTGGGCGGGGAGGCGGCGATTAGAGTTATTAAATTTGAGTGGTTAATTAAGCGAGTGCGGCCCATAAAGGCGTCGCGCGCCTTTATGTGCCTCCTCGGATACGCGATAGAGTCGTTGATGAGCCGCGCGAATGTAAATTTCCGAGGGGAGCAATCCGGACGGCGTTCTTATTGACTTTTTTGCGTGTCCTCGTATTATTCGCGGTAAATCAGTCGGAAGCGCTGTAAAAACAACATTTCGAGGTGCGACTGAAAATGGCGATGTCGAGTCGTGTCGTTATATTTCGTTAGCGTCAATCCACGCTGTTCTCGTGGTGTCGATAAAAAATAATTACTTTAATAAAAAAATAAAAAAAATATATATACCGCATTTTTTACTACGATACACGAATTATTCGTGGCTTCTCTCAGGCTCTGCGGATAGCCGGAAATTCTTCGGAGGATGAGGGGACATAATAAGTGCTTTCTTTCACGATATCGCGCCGTGGATTGGCGCACATTATTTAGCGCGGAAATCGTTGAACGCGCACACCGGCGTTTATTGACACAGAGGCGCGTGTGCTGCTCGAGATAGAAAATCACAAACGGCGGAAGTGATTTTTTATCCGCCGTACGTGCAGAGCGCAATTGTGTTTCGCCGCGTTCGCCGAGAAAGAGGAGGAAATGCGTTATTGGAAAGCTGCCACGTGATGGAAACTTTGTTGGAAGCATCATTTAATATATGTCCTCCTTGATACACATATATAAAATATATATACACATATATATCCCTCGACATATACAAGAATATGTCGAGGGAGGATAACAGCTGCGATAATTCCGTTTACTTTCGGTGTGACGAGCGAAGTTTCGCGGCAGTTTAGCACAGATACCGAGAGCGTCCCGGATATAACGTTAATTATATAATCCTCAAAATTGAGGGTAATTATTTAAATTGACACATTTACGCGCGTTCCACGAAATATCCCAAGTAGAATGTCTCAAGGCGAGGACTGAGCCGAGTGGATTTTACGAATGCAACCTCGTCCGCGATCTTTGTATTTCCGCGGGTCGGAATTAAACGGCAATACCGTGGCAAATTCGTCCGCTCTCTATCCGCTTATGTCATACTAGCGCCGAAGCGCCGGATGCGAAATGCATA